TGTTTGACTGGTGGTTTATTTGTTTTTAAATTATCTTTTGAGTACTTTCTGGTTATATATTTTCATAATATACTTACTCAGATTATTTTGAACTTTATAACCGAATTTTTATAATGTATTATTGTAGAAATATCACATAATCATATCATTGCCCTGATTACATTACTATTCTGATTGATGTCATGAAGATTTTGCAAGTTAAATATATAGATTATAAACTTTAGACTAAAATCCTATCGTGTCACCTGTTCAAAATATATTTATTGTAAGACACGTATCAATTCATTATTTGTCAATAAGTGTGGATGACTCATAAATCGTGTCATTTGATAGCTCCATAGCAAAATCGAAACTTTAGAAGCCTGATTACATATTTTAATTTCAATAAGTGGTGTTGCTAGATTTACTATTTAAAGGCAAAAAGTTTACTGTCCTGGTTCTGGTAATGAATAGTGTTCTTATTATAATTTTTTAAATTTATTTTATAGATCAAAATTTCAGAAATGTAATTATCTTAATAAATTGTGAGATGTTGATAGTAAATTTATTTGTTCTTAATAAATTAATATATATCCTAATTGGTGATTATTTTGAAATATATAACCTACAAATGTTAGAAATTTAGTTCTCTCAATTATACATATCAAAATATCAAATGCAGCATACAATCTAAACAAATATTCATACTTTTCAAAATTCAAAAGTCCATAATTTTCAAAATAATCATTCATACTGTTTATACAAAGTTTCACCTTAAGAAAACAATAAAATTTTAAGCTATTACATAATTGAGACCTCTCAAAGTAATTTTTGTTGTAATTTAAAATTGAAAATTTAAAAATAAAATCCGATATTATACTAGTCGGGTAGAAGAAGAAACGAGGTGGTTTAATTTCCATTAAGGTCGGGGCATAACAATAATAATAACTAGATTTACAAACCTCTCCATGATGCACAAATAGGCATGCAAAATATATATATGTATTGCTCAAACACAAGAAATTGAGCACTGATATGCTCCAAATAAAATGTGGTCAATCTGCAAGACATGACATGTAAGGTATGCACTATACATTGGCATAGATTCAGAAAACGGAAGTCTTAGATCTATAAATCTTATAACGAACCCCCCAGTTCAAGAAATAACGAGTGGTCTTTAATTCGCAGCTCTGAATAGAAGATGAAATCACATTTAATATAATATGATATGCCTGTAAATAAAAGTGTCTGATGGACTATTGACTCTGGTTTCCCAGAAGCCGTTCCACAGCTGCATGAACATTTCCTGAAGTAGCACGGAGGGCTCTGATATTCTCTTGAGTGTCGTAAAAGCCCATCTCTTGCAGCTGAGACAGCTGGCTTGCATACACTTCTTCTGGGGGTACTGATGGAAAACAAACATTCAGATTATCAGAGAAAGTATGTAATAAAAAGCTGTAGATAATAGATATATGTATGTTCGGTCAGTTGCAACCATTGTTTGCAGCAGCAAAGCTGCCGGCTCCAAGCCCACCGAACATATTCATCAGCATCTCCAAACCAATGGTTTGTGTTCCTGCATTTTTTACACCACCAAAAGAATGATGTGGTATAGGCTATATTACAGGAAGATAAGAAAAAAAAATGTGTGTGAAGTGAGTTTGTTCTCAGTTTTGGGTGCTTCTTATCTCTCTACCTTGACCAGTCTGAGCTCCATTCCTAAAAAAAAAAAAAAAAAGAGATTAAGCTGGGTTCATGAGGATGCTTGACTAAGTTTCTAAAAATTAAATAAAGAGTGTAGTGGTAAATAATCCCATGCATCAAGAGCACATGGTGGGTGTAATGAAAAAAGGAGGCTACTTGAAGGCAACCCAAAGAAAACAGTGTAATGCATGGTGGGTGTCACACCGCTTTTATTAAAACAACAGTTCAGAAGCAACACCATAAAAGAACAAACTAACAGTGTACACTTCATGTTTAAAGTTGGGATGTAGCTCTATATAAGAGGTCGAGTATATATAATAATAACAGTATTCCATGAAGAAATACAATGCATCAAACACTATAAAGTGATCCCTTAGCCGTGAATACGCAATATTACAGTCAACATAACCATCAAAATAAAACAGACGGATCTCTGATTCTATATAAAGCATGAAAAAGTTATTTCTCACTCACGATGTTGACTGCGGCCCAGTAAGTTGAGAAAGTTGTTGCTGTAAGGCCAAAATTTGCTGAAACAAAATGAAGGCCGATGTGAACGTAAGGGAAAAGTTCCAAATCAGGCAGAGAATCACCCACCTCCTCTATCGAACTCAATCAATAAACCCCATAGAAGAAACAATAACTCAAGAACTCGAGTGAATAAAAGAGGATTGGATATACCTGTATCGTCTCAGGTGTGGCCAATTCTCGAAGAATCTCTGGGTTTTGCATCATTTCTCTTAATTGAGGATTCATATCAACCATGCTGCGTAGTTGAGGATTCAAGCCCAGGATCTACAATAAAATTGTGATCTCATCACCAACATGAAGTCAAATGGAAAAATATTTAACCAATAGCCAACAGTTATATTAGTACTTGTTCCATATACTGTGGATTGGAAAGCAGGCTCTGTGTAATCTGCACTACATCTGGATTTTGCAACAAATGACTGAATGCAGAGGGATCCGTTATGCCTGTACGATCCAACTCTGGCAGACCAATACCTCCCAATCCAGCAATTGAAGGTAGTGGTGGATTAGTTCTCGTAGCATTATTTGTTTGAGAACCTCCTAAAACATTACAATCATGAGCACATTATCATCTCATCACAAAAATACCCAGACAAGATTTTATTAAGTTTGAGAGTTGAACCAGAGGGTAAAACATCACACTGAAACCAAATGGTGTATAACTTGAATGATTTCCTAAACTAATTGAGCAATAAATATGTGAAACTCTTTTTCCAAATATTTTATGCGAGAGCTTTTATGAGGATATAACAAGCATAAATAGTTATTAGTGCAAGATTACCACAAGCAATTAAGACATAAGAATGCATTAGAAATGGGTCCTGAATAAGGAAAGTGCATAGTAAAGCAGTATGATTATTGCACAAACTATTTATGGGTCCTGAGATAAGGAAAGTAGAAAACATAAGCATCAGATAATTTACCAAGCATATAAGAAACTTGATCATATAGACACTAAAACCATCTAGTTTTACCAGTATTACTCCATGGATTCGGAAGTGGGTTTGAATTGGGCACAGTGGTCCCGGATTCAGGTGCAGCATTTGAGTCTGACCCACCTCTCGTTTGGTTCCCAAAGAGAGCTGCAAATGGATTTGTTGCAGCAGCAGTCCCACCACCACCACCACCTGTGGTTGTTGCATTCAAGAAGGGCTCTTGGACATTTTCATACATGCGCCTCAGCATGTTAAATCCCTCGGGAGAAGATTCAATGTTACTCATTGCCCTGTCTGTGTTCCGCATCATCTCACGCATCAACTCAGGGTTCCTTGCAGCTTCTAATGTCTGCCGAAGGATGCCAGGATCATTCAAAACATGGGCAAGTTCAGGATTCCGGTCGATTATCTCGCGCATCTGAGGGTTACTCATAATTAAACTCCTCATGATCTCAGGGTTGCTCATTAAGCTTTGGATGGCAGGTGAGTTCATGATATCTCTCATCAAGTGAGGGTTCTGACTTAGTTGCTGCTGCATTTGTTCAAATTCAGGAAGCCCACTTCCAAATAACCCTGATTGCCCGGTTCCCCCGAGTGCACCCAAACCAAATAAGGGTGCACCAGTGCTGGCCACCCCAGTGCCCTCAGGAACTCGGCCACCACTTTGAGTGCCAGCTGGACTGTTGGTGCTTCCAGCACCTGTAGGAACAGAAGGAGGAGAGGCGGCAGGTGCAGAACCACGAACCATATGAACGGTGTGATCTGCCTGCAAACCTATTCAAACGTATACAAAGGCCAATATTTATGAGGACAATGACGGTGGTGGTGAAATATGGACGAAGCTAGATCATAGATCAAGTAAAGAAATGTCCATATACTAAAAACGATTGTGTTTTATGTACAAAAAGAAAAGGAAATAATGCAGAATGAAGTAATTCAAATTGATACTCATGACGCAATATATTGGCATTAACCTTGCAAGCAAAGAAATATAACAAAACTGACTTTGCAGACCTATTTAACTGCATGAGTGTACATTGTTTCCATTATCAATACTCAAAACCAAGCATGTGCAAGATCACATGATAGTCATAAGTAGATAATAGTCATGAAATTATTGCATTCACGAAGTCCATCAATGAAGCAAATAGTCATAATTAGATAGTAGTCATGAAATTATTGCATTCACGAAGTCCATCAATGAAGCAAGAGAGGCGAAAGAATATTCAATCCACAAAAATAGCAAAATCATTGTGAGGATGGCTCGATAACAAATTTCCCCAGAAATAATGTTCTCCACCATGCAGGGAAAAATATGTCTATTTAATATGACTGCGCGTTAAATGTGTAGGGGTATCTCATACTGTATACGATTATCCCAGATTACTTTGAGAGCTACACAACTGCCCATTAATTTAAACTAAAACATCAAGAAAAATGAGGTGACAAGTGGTACAGCAAAACCAAAATCTACAAGTCTCCCAAATGATCACTTAACATCACTTAATAAAAATCATGCATCGTTTTTCTACTGTCGATGCAGTTAATCTAATATTAGATACAATCCAGTAATCCAGCAGTGACTCATTTCCGCAATCACTTTCTTATTTAGCGAGTTTTATATTATCTAATTCTTAGCAAGTATTTTGCTTAGAGTAAATGTTTATAGATTCCAGCCTCAAACTTTTAACTACACATGCATAAACCTTCATTTACTTGAGTTTATTTTTCCCACACACCAGGAGGCTCAATTTTAATAATCGAACCAAAAATCTCCTCGCCATCCAACAACAGGTAAGCAAGCAGATAAAAAACCACTCAAATTACTTGCTTCTAACAACCAAAAATCAATAACGACTACAATTCTACGGCAACGAATAAAAATTACCATAGCTAGCCAGGGTTTGGTCGTCCTTCAAGATCCGACCTTTGTAGATCAAACGCTGCTGTTGAGCGGGCACGTCGCAACTTTGCGCCAATACGCCTTTAAATTCAGCTACCGTCGATTCGAGGCTCGTTTTCACCGAGAACTTGGAGCCGTTTGAGCCTCGAATGTTTACATTCACTTCATCACCCCCCGCAACGCCTAAGCTGGATTCCTCCTCCGCACCCATTGATTTTTTTTAGTCGATAAATCTAGGGAAAAAAAAACAATCAAAAACCCTAGCTTAATTAGGTTGCAGCCTCGACTGTCTTGCGATCGAACGAAAGGGAAAAAAGTAGAAAAAAAGGAATATAAAAAAGGGGCAGAAATTAAGATTCAGGAGATGCACTTGCAATAAGATTGTAGGAGCAGTAAAAATTTATTATATTCACAAAAATTGTGGTCTTAAGTTGACTATGGTTATCGAATAAAATCTTTAAAAAGAAAATAAAAATATTTTTCTATTTAAATTTTTAACAAATTTATAAAATCACAATATTATATCTAATATTTACTTGAAATAGCAACTAAAAATCAGCAAAAAAAAGATTTGGTTTTCGCCTAAAATATTTATTATATTGAGTAATATTTTTTGCAAAAACTTGAAAAATATCGCCTAAATTAATGTACAGAATCATTTTGGTCAAATATTGCGGTTAGTACATTTATTAGTTGCATGGTTTAAATTTAGAATATAATATATTGACAAATCTTGCAACTATTACTTTTATTAGCTGCATGATTTAAATTTGTTATATAATTGTTGACAACCGACCTGATTTGTAGAATTTAAGGTGAAGATTTACGAGTATTATTCAATGATCATTGTTCAAATTATCTGACAACCGACCTGATTTGTAGAATTTAAGGTGAAGATTTACGAGTATTATTCAATGATCATTGTTCAAATTATCTCGTACGCCTAACTTGACAAAACTCAGCACAAGCTGAGTGTCAAACCGACCTCATACATAAATGCGAACCGACTTCGCGTTCAAGGCAATAACCGACTTCTCGAAGATTCATTCTACAAACTGAGGTCCGAGTAGGCCGAAATTCAAAGTAGGTGACAAGGCGCCCACATAATTGGACCATGTGCCACATTGCAATCATTACTGTACATCTACCTGTTGGGATATAACACTACTGACCGACAAACCGCTTCATAAAACTACTTTGCATTAAATGCGATCACAGCAACTACTACTACTGGGGATCTTTTACGCGCATTTAATAGACACATGTGAAACAACTCGGTTTACACATAACCCAACTTCCTGTACTTTGCAATAACTCAGCAATAATACAAAATCTTTACTTCCACGCCTTAATTACATATTGTTATCGTTGTTAAATTTCATACAACAACAATAATATATTAAAAGAAATAAAAAGATTTATTTAAATTTAAAAATAAAAAATAATTATTCATAACTTACGGGTCAGTATTAACTTGGATGTAAACGAAATAGTCAATTATTTATAGTTTAATAAATTACTCAATAACTTACGGGTCAATATTAAATTGGATGTAAACGAAATAGTCAGTTATTTGTAGTTTAATAAATTACTCAACTACTTAATTTTTTTATTTGAATAGTTATACAATAATAAATTATTTTATGTAATGAAACAATATAAATTTTATATTTATACTTATTATTCACATAGGTTGTGAGATATATGATAATATTTTACCAAAATAACTATTTTATGGAATCACATATAGTCAAATCGATTTTCTAAATAAAAATTAAAAATGATACATATTGGAAACGAATATAATGTAATTTATTATCAGTTATGTGCACTGTACGAGTTGTATACTAATTTTAAATAGACATTTTTATGTAATTTTTGCACAATTTAAACTTTATATAACATTCTCAATAAATTTAATATAGGTAAATTGTATTACATATTGATTCCATATTTTTAATTTATAAATATTATTGAATAAAAAATTTTAATTTATAAATATTAATGAATATCTCTTACCCGTGCACTGCACGGGGCTCATACTAATTATTTAATACGACATGACATGCGTAAGCTTTGATTGTATTAGATAACGATATCCTTTTCTAATCATAGGCCGCTTGGTAGATATATATATTATTTTCAATTAGGATGTATAGTTAACCAATGTTACAAATACAGTACCGGTGATCATACCGGACGAGCCTCTGGTACGCGGTTCAACCAGTTCAACCGATATTATCGTCTATTTTACCGATTTTCATAAATATTAAATTAATATAATGTATAAAACTAACTATAATAAATACTAAAATTAACTAAAATCTAATAACATGTAAATATATTAAATTTAAGTGTAGAACTTTCTATTTATATAAATAAATTAATAAAAATATGTTATAAATATATTTAAAAAAAACGGTATAACTAGTATTTTGGCCAGTATTGTCCGATAAAATCGGTATTTTCCAGTATGAAGCCTGTATAAACTGGTATTTGGCCAAAACGGTATTTAAGGGTAATGGTATCGTTAGGACCACCAGTATCCGGTACTTAAAACATTGTAGTTAGTAATATATATATATATATATATATATATATATATATAGTCAGGATCACATTAGAATGGTAGATAGTGAAAGAGATGAGAATAAACCTAGACCATGAGATCAATCATATTAATGATTAGGATGAAGTCAAATTATGGTCAATCATTAATGACAAATTGGTAATTACTTAATCATAGTGTGGTCAAATATGTGCATTTGACCAATAATTAAGGGTAAGTTGGTCAATACACATATTTTAAATGGGACCACATCCACCATCCCCAACAAATCCATCACCTACCACATCCCTTCTCTCACACACAACACACACTCGTCCTTCCCCCCTCTCTCACACACAACACATACTCATTTTACAAAAAAAACACACACACACACAATCGCGACACATCGACACACACACACAAACAAGCCAAGCCCGCCGGCAATCATCACCACCAAGCCGAACCACCAAGGCCACCCACAGGCGTCGGCACGGCCGGTCGCTGCCGTCATTCCCGGTCGTCGCCTCCAAAACCACAGCCCCACCTACGATCTCAACAGAGGCGCCCTGCTCGATATGGGCATGGCCAATTTATCCGACTTTGAAACACCGACGCATCCTCCATCTCCGGCGTCGTCGCCTTCTCCCAAAGTTGAGATATCTCACCATGTCGCCTCCACCTTCCATGTTCTCGAAGTGGCTGGAGAACTTACAATAAAAGCACACCATGTCCATGAGCGTGAAGAAGACGGGGCTGAGCACCACAATCATACCGCCGAACAGGTGCAGATCCGGCGCCGCTGAACAGGTACAGTAAAAGCACACCATGTACATTATAATTATATTTATATTAATAATATAGTAATAATTATTAAACTTTGGTTCACTAGTTCAGGGCCTCAACCTTTCTTCCTTTGTATTTATATTTTGTAATATATATCCTTTGGCTCAAAAATAAATTAAACAATATGTCTTTGATAATTGTAATAACTTGGTTTTAATGGACTTTAAGTTAATGCAGAATGCTTGAATGACAGCATGTGTATGTTTCTAAGTTTGTTCTAAACTTTAAATGTAAGTATTCGTCGTTTTAGTGGAATAAGTATTTGGTTGAGTTTTTTTTTTTTGGTCCCGTTTTGTCCTAGCCCCGAACCGTTTTGTCCCGGTCCCGATTGATAACGATCTATTTGGGACAGTGTCTCAACCCAGACCGGTTCAAAAAAATGGGATAGCTCAAATTCTGGACCGTCATGGACCGCGCCCACCACTAAGAAAATATACAATGCTAAAATGGAAAAAGAGAAAGAAATATATATTTTTTTTTACAACATTTCTCTTTTAAGTAACTAAAAGTCAGCGTTCCCATAAGATTTAAGTTAAACTTTAAAAGTAAAGCAGTTCAGTAAGTTAGAAGAAACAAGAGTTTTAAGTAAGTACCCTAAGAAGAGTTATTAAAAGTTAAATTGTTTTCAAAAAAAATTGAAATTCTTTTGAAAATTCAGTATCTTTCAAAGTATAAGAAGAGGATTGGTATGCACGTGGGGTGCACAGGAACACTAGGCGACTAGTGCACGGAAGCGCTAGTACGCACACGAGCACGCTGTATTGTCTGCAGGCTCAAGGGCGCGAGCAAGTGGGTCTCTGTTGGGGCGCGGTACGCGGTTGCCTGTGGAACACAACGAGTCTGTGCAGGTCTCCTACGGAACACAGCGAGTCTGTGCGGTCACCTATGGAACATAGTGGGTCTGCTGTTTGTCCTATTTTTATTGCATTTTTCTTTGTTATTTTTCCTTTCTTTTTCCCCCGTTTTAGGTCTTTTTGTTTGTTTTTATTTCGTTTTGTAGTTTATTGCGTGTTTTCATCTATTTGGAGTCATCTCAGTGTTTGTAGTTTGGTTTTCTGTTTTTTCTGTTTTTCTTGTCATTTTTGGTGTGCAAGTCGGGAGTCTCTGGAGGATAGGAATTCAGAAAAACATTAGTCGACTAGCATATATAAATAGAGGAGTCCGTTGGCAACACACAAGAAAAAACGGAATCAAATTCCGAGTCCAAACAAACCCAAACGAGAACGAGACACGGAGTAGTGCGAGCTGCCCAGACCCCGCGCACGTGCCGCGCCGTGCC